ATAAACAGGGCAATAAGAAGCACTATATATGCGCAAAAGCATTCAAAGCAAAAAGTTGAGCACACACCTTTTAGAGATAAAATGACACAGAAATAGTATGAAAAAATAATAAATGCTCCTCACAATGTTTGTGTTGAAAGAGGCAAAATAATCTGAACTGAGGTAGTACTTCATTGGTAGTGCAATGCAATGAAATATTTCCTGGTTTTTGTGAGACACAGGTGCACTCATACATGTTTTGCAATATTTTTTTGTGCGTGAGAATGGCCTGCTGGTCATTAAATAGAGATAGATGCCCACTGTGTGAACCATGCCTACAAAATAGGATGTCCAATGAACTAACTTCACCAGTTAGTCTGGCCTCTTGATTCCATGATTTACCTCTTTAAGCATAGATTGGCATCCAAAATATGTATCGAGGCTTCATCATTTGTAGTTTTGCAGACGATGTTGAAAAATTTAGCAGATTCCACATACCTTGAGAATTGATGTTATGGGAAGCATGCGGATAGAAGGTCACTGTGTTATTTTTTTTTATTCGGCAATACATGATGAACTGGCACTACAGATAAGTACAAATGCAAGCACAGATCTACATTAAACCGCCACATATGTTTCATATTACAAGATATTTGCAGTTGCGTAACAATGCCAACAGCAGCATGGATATGAACAACACCAGAAGCGGTAAGCTGATATAAAGCGTTCGTGCTCAAGAGGATGATAGGCCTGGACACTGATACATAATTCAACTACAGCAAATGGCACCTAACTACAACCCATGTTAACTCAACGTGACGGCTGTATCAAAGGAGCACATATGCAATGTTCATAAAATTGGATAGCCGGCACTGCAATCACAATTGTCGCTTCACGAACGTTAGGGTCTGTTTGAGGAGTAGTTGTGAAACCTGTCGTGGCTCTATGGTAGAATATTTATTATCTATGCAGAATGCTGGGGTTCAACTCTTGCTGGAACCCTGACATTCATTCTTTGCATTCGCCGGGTCAACGCTGCCAATGTCAGCTTTTTCTTAGAAACCAACTCCGGTGATTTTTCGAGCATGTCAAGGTAATGGTATTTCTATGTTCCCAAGACACTCTTGTCACGAGCCCATTAGCTGAAATGCTTAGAAAATTTGAAAATAATTCTTAATAAGCAAAAAGGTGCAAAAACGAAACCGAAATCTGACCGGGTCTGCGTATGATGTACTATTTGGTACGAACCAGAGGCCGTACACTAGTCCCGCTGGCGCGTAGTATGAAAACTTCAAGCCAGACCAGCGAAGCACCAGGCAAACACCACAGAGAAAGGAAGAAAGCTTTCCCGTGCTATACCCGTGCCAAACACCGCCCCCATCGCCTTGTGGCCAGCACAATAAACGCGGTAGCGGCCAAAGTAGCCATGCCATTGGCTGCGTCACTTCCATTGACATGCCACACAGGACATCACACTGACACTATTGCCAATAATTTTGGCAAGCGAGCTTCTTAAGGCAATCTTTGAAATTCATTTGCAAACAATCAGCGCATCTCTCAAGCCTGTAATTTGGCATGAATAACAAAAGTGTGCAAAGGAACGTACCCAGCGAATTTCATTAAGATCCATTGACCTCGAAAAATCGCCGGAGTTGGCCTTTAACGCTTACATGTTAAAAGTACCAGAGTCTGTTCTCGCCATTACTTGGTACATACAAGTTGTCAATCACCTGTGGCACACACCCACTCATGGGTATGTGCCACACGTCTGGCCAACATCTCCTTTATTACTTTCAATGTCAGTGCTAACGTGCGCTTCTTAACAGGAGCCGTTGGTCCGCCTTAATTAAGAGAGTGGTCGTGATGCGGCGCTGTATAAGAAGTAGCGCTGCTCGCGTCACTCATACTTCTGAGTGCTTTCCCCCGGAGATGCCATAGATGTGCTTCCTACTCGAATATCATGCACCTGTCAGATTTGATCCTTCAAGATCCTTCTTTGTGGCTCGAAGCAATGCCGCCGCAGGATCACAGCGCTCTTAAAGTCTGCACATGCAGTTGCGATACTAATCCACAGAAATTACAAATCCACAGAAACGATGACCCTTAAAACCCACAATGCACTGTGGCGATACTAATGAGTGATACGTGAAGTGCTCCAGCCACGCTGTTGTTAGCGGGGGGGAAAAAAAAAACTCTCATAATCAATCGAAATGCTTCACTGCAACACAGCAGTGACATGTGGGGAGTGTGTCGCATGCTTCTCACAATGTCAGCACGTCCTTATTCATCCATTCTCTCTAGGAATATAAAGAAATCAATAAAGGAGAATCTGACGAAATTCCTAATGTATGCCAACCTCTGGCTGGCAGTCTCTCCAGCAATTTGCGAACTTGCAACGCCTTGTTCAAAAACACACTTTGAGAAAGTCAATGACCATGTTTTCCAGCGGAAACATATCGCATATTCTATCAAACTGGCCAAAAAATAATTTGTCTATTGTACCAGAAAGAATGGGCACATAGTCACATCATGATGCTCTGACGCTGCAAGGTGCAGACGACATGTTGCATGTCACCACTGTGTCACAGTGAAGTATATCTAATTTCGTAGAGGCGCATTTCAGCTGATCGCGGGACTTTTTTTTTTCTGCGCTAGCAGAAATGAGGTCCACAGTCCTGCCAGTTTGCGGCGAAATTGAGACAAGCTATTGCTGAAAAACACAAGCCCTGTAGGCACAAACTAGCTGGCACAGCAAATGACCACCTCTAAAATGACTTTCCATAATTCGAAGTTCCTTGCATTCCGCTTCTTGTATCTTTCATTAATTAGAAAACCCACATATTTCAAAAATTTTTCACAGTTCCAGTGACTTCGAATCAGCGAGGTTTTACTGTATGAATAGGTATGATAAACCCTCTACTTCCAATTTTTTTTCTCCCCTCTACTTCTAATTTTTTTTCCTCTGAAAACCATAAATTATTGAGCGATCATGTAATGGCCCTTTAATAAGAGCATACACACACAGAAAATGTTCTCAAGCAAGTATGTAGCAGACCATATGTGCTCTTGACCGAGCTTAACGAGACATTGAACCACTTTTACAAGTAAGCATAAAATGACCTCATAATCAAAATTTATTGACTCACGAGAAAGACTTCTGTTTTTCTAATTACTTATTTTGCCATTCGATAAGCTATAGAAATTAAAACAAGCTAAATATGGATACACGGTTATTAATTACAATGACCCTTTTAATGTGTCGATGTTTTCCGCCCCTTTTCGTTCTACCAGACAACTAACCTTTGGTAAATGGAACATTCCACAAAGTCACAACGTATGTGGTGAACGGATTTCACAGTTCGCTGGTATTAAAATCTGGAATGATATACCTATTCATATAAAAGTGTGTTCAAATTTCACCAAGGCACTAAAGCATTATTCAGAAGAATGTCCTGATTTAATAAAATGGCTATCCTAATTTTATTATGTATGTAGAAGTTATTTTTTTCTCCTGTATTGTACCAGTTTTTGTTTTTCTTGGTGTGGTTATTTAATGTACTGTACGGCTTCTTTTCACATTCTTTATTAGATATTATTTGTCTTCTTCAGTTATGTTTTTCCAAAGTGCCCTTATAAAATGCATCTTTTTGGACCCAAACTAGCCAATGTCTATGGGCCCACACAGTATGTGCAAACTTTATGAAACTAGTGTGAGCAATAAAATTCGTATTACAATTCCAATCAGCTCAAGATTTTTTCACATCCGTTAGGAATGAGCATAGCAACAGGGCTTTTTCTTACATTCTGGAGTGTGCTGGAAATTACTGAGGGAGGCATGACTAGGGAAAAAGAATCTATGCCAGTGCACATCATGACCTCGAGTGTGTATCATGAAAGGTGATCACACTCTCCCAGTATGACTTCTAATGTGCTTTCTAATGTACAGTCGACTCTCGTTAATTCAAACTCAAAGAGACCTCTGAATTTTGTTTGAATTATCAAGAAGTTTGAATTATCAGAAGTTTAAACTATCAGAAGTTATCAGATAGATCACTCTGGGTGAGGTGACATCAAACATTATTATTATGCATTGATATTATCACATTTAAAAAATTGTGTAGTGTTTTTAAGTCCTAACTGCATGCAGTGAGCAGAAAGCACAAGTGTAAAGTCCACAAGTTTATTGGCCATTTACTGCTGATCAGACCTTTTAAAAAAAATAATTAATTTTCAACTGCTTCATTGCTGTAGGTATGTGCATTCAGCACAAAGCTCTCTATACCATTTGAGAACCATTACAATTAACTATGCGTGTGCTTCATTTCAAGCATTTGTTTACTTGTAAAGCCTTTTTCCTTGAAGGCCTCAGGTGCTAATTTTTCATATTTAGACTGCTAGGATTATATAGGCACATAAATTTTTAAATAACAGTGGGAAAGCAGCAGATACTTTATGGTATGTACCCGCAAAAAGTATGAATTGACCAAATGGTGGAGTTTGAATTAAGAGGCTTTTAAATACATTGAAAGAATAGAGGGCCAACCAAAAAAAATGAATTTTGTTTGAATTACCCGAAAGTATGAATTATCAGAGTTTGAATTATCACGAGTCTACTGTATTTGTTTTACAACCAAGTGCAGGGGGTCGTAAAGGACCCCTTTTAATGAGTTATATTCTATGCTATATAGCAGTGGTTCTCAGCCATGAATGTGTCGGGAGCCCCTGGTGGATTGGTGGAAGTGATGGGGGACCCCTTGCAGCAGAGGGGAGGGAGGGGGGTACGTAGGTAATGAAGGAAACTGGAGCGTGAAACAGGTGTCTTTTTATTGCTACCAAAAGCATCAAACAAAAGTGCCACATCACTTCATTTTGGACAGTTCATCCATATGTGGCACAGTCACGCTTAAAGAAAAATGCGGGTGAGGGTTTTGCAGATCATAGAAATTGCTTCGCGAACCCCCATTTGAGAACCACTGCTATATACAATGAGACAACTCGATTCAGCGCTCAGACATACTCACTCAAGAAAGAGGACTTCAGCTGATGCAAGACACTCCACAAGCACATCTGCACAAACATAAGTGCATGCTTAGCAACAGTCTGGCAAACCTATTAGCAAAACTGTAAGCTCATGAAGGCAAAACAAGTTTTTTCATGTCCCAGGAAAACAGATCATATTTACACCATGCAACGTGACTGCGGTTAGTCAAAAGGAAGACTACAAGCCACACTTCTTTTAGACATTCGCGCAAATAAACCAGATCAAGATGTGCATTATTTTAACTTGCTGAAAAAAATTTATGGCCGATCACTGTTGTGCTAGCACATCAATATTGAATAGTTCCATCACTATACCAAAAACAGATCCTGAAAACTTGTTTAAAAAGCAGCAAAAACAGAAAATGCCAGTGACATTATGCACACAAGTTAGATAACATTTGTACAGTGAAATCCAGTCGTAGATCACAACTGGTACGAATATCGGTGTGATACGAATTTGTAATAAACCCCTGCCGGAATTCACGATACAAAAACAATCAGCTGCTTCTCGTTTCTGCATCATTATTACTATTATATTATTATTATTATTATTAGTATTATTATTATTATTATTAGTATTATTATTATTATTATTATTATTATTATTATTATTATTATTATTATTATTATATTATTATTATTATTATTATTATTAATTATAGCACACTGTCAACCTAAAATGGGGTTTTTACAGGGTGTGTACATCAAAAAAGAAAAATAAATCACTAGCAAAAGACACTGAGATGCCACAGTGCAAATGTAGGTCAGGGCGTAATTACATGTCAGTAGAATTTTTACATAGGTGCTTATATGCAATAAGCAACTAATAACATACATCTTAAACACGGAAATATACATTGGTTGCAGATATAGATACCCAGGTCAGGTTGGCTAGAATGGGGAGGTGTCATGAGCACGACGCTTTTTGCTTGCCGGAGAAGGCCGTTCGGCACGCCGATGCCACTAGGGGCGCTGATGGCAGCGGCGTGGGTAGTTAGCGGCGCACTTCGCAGAGTTTTCCTCGGGTGCGCTGTTTTTTTTTTTTAGAGGCAATAGCTGCTTTACATGTACTTCGTTAATCGGTGATTGCACTGGGTTACTATGAAATGCCTGAACGTGTCAACGCCAAAAAAAGTAGATCCAGCGTCGCTGCATTATGCTTGTCCACAAAACTTAATTCTTCAGTTCAGCCTCTTGAAGAGTCCTAAGGGTGGCAACGTAGATCACTTAGTGGGGGAGTCGCTCTGTCTGTTGAAAAAATGCTGCATGAGATGGAATAAAATGAGGAAGACTACGAAAGACTTCCATCTGATGCACTAGCAGTGTCTGTCGCCCATAAATCGTATACCGCTGAGCGGCGGATGGTCGCCCTTTATATTATGTGGCAAGCTACGCTGTGAGAAATCTGGTACTTTATAATAATCGTGATGAGTGCAAGAACGCCCGCCTTGTTTCGCACTGTTGGTGGTTACGCGTTATAAGTAACATTGTTGCTGGTATAGCACGTTACTTCGGCAATTAGTATTTGAGCACTCATTATATATGTAGAAATAGAGCTGCTGCTTAAATTGTGCGAGTTGTAGTTGTCAGCAAGTCGTTCCTGCAAAACGGTAGCGCTATTTGTCAGTTATGTTTCCAAAATAAAATTTGCTTCTGCTGATAGTACAGGTCGCGGAGCACTAAGTTTGCAGTACCTGGAAAAGTGAGGCTCCCGTTTCCATAAACAGTTGCGATTCTAGCGAGCCCTGTGTAGTTAAAGGGGCAAAAATTATTTACACTGCAAATATTTTAGACTGCAAATACCTGCGATTATTCTGGTAACTTGCATCTGCCTGCAGATGCAAGTTGCCAGAATTACTAAATTTTTTTAAGGTCAGTCATCATATCTTTGCGGAGAGAGTTGACGGTGAAATAGTATTGCGGCTTTCTGTGACAATAAGAAATAGATTTAACATGCACCACGTTGTTATAAGCCATCACATGCAACTCTCCAATGCACATTAGGCCACTGTGTTCTATGTCCGGCATCTTGTGCCAAATTCGCTATTTTCATTCACCTAAATTAGCTATAGTTGTTTTGGTCAGAGAATTCATTTCTTTTTTTTTTCAATAGGTCGAGAAGCACGGGACTAAAAGCTCGAGTGATTGACAAAGTACCGACACAGTCACAAGTTGGCAAAGCAGCAATACACAACAGACATTCATACACGTAGATTAAAAAATAAACTTTACAAGTATAAAATTACACTAAGTACGAATACAAAAGTTATGAAACAAAGCTCCACAAATAGAGAGCGAGGGAATACATATGTATCATGACTTGGCATGAACATGAAAAGCAAAAATCAATAAGTAGAGTGACCGAAATTCTGGGAGATCTACTATTTGGGAAAGTGAATTAGCTGGGCGAAGCATCTAATGTGTCGATTTTGATTACTTAAAATTACATATATCTACAGCACTATAGTTGGGAATTATTCATAAGAAATTAATTATACATGATGTTATAATGAAGTGTCAGAAATCATCAGGATCAAACTATGCACAGATACACAGAGACATCACAGTAAAAGATACAATACAGTAATAAGAATTATTTTAAAAATGCGCAAGACAGCCAATAGTAGCGACGTTTCTTGCAATATTTAAATAGATTCATAGAAAGTTCTCAATGGCTGAAGAAAGGACAAAGTGTCAATGTCTTCGTGGTTTAAGGTGGTTAATAGGTAAGGTAGCCTGTAGGACAATGTTCATCCTCAACGCTTCTAGGAACAGGTAAAATCCACATTTAATTCTTCGTGCCTAGTGAGACAAACACTTGGCTTTACGTTTATCTTAGCAAGATAAATTATGGTACTACAACCATGTTTAACGAATGCTTTATGACATGTCAATTATAAATAAGAGGTTTATTAAAATGATATTCTGGCTCCCACAGCACGGGTGCATTCATAGAAACTTCTATCTTGGAGTATAATCGATAAACAACCCCAGGTGGTCGAAATTTCCGGATCCCTCCACTACAGCGTCTTTCATAATCATATGGTGGTTTTGGGACGTTAAAGTGAACATATCAAGGCCTTTTCAAGAGTGGTTTTCAGAGATGAGACTTTAAAGAGCTTCACCACCTTCCAGAGCAATTTTCGTGGAGAGTGGCACGTGCTGTCTCGTTTGTCTTCTCCGCAAGGTTACCCGTGCCGGTGCATGCAGCGCCCCAAGCGGCATCGGCGCGCTTTGGGGACCAGTTTCAGCGGCCGCTTTTCACACCTCACCATTATAGCCACCCTACCCAGGTTACAGCATCGTAGATTAATAATATGTTACAGACAATAGGTTACAGCACCAAACTAGCAGGAAGTATTTTATTTAGAAATCAATCTGACAATGTGAATCATCTATATCAGTGTTACATTGGACAGCTCAGTGTGTTTCGTATGATCGTTTGTAACACCACGGAAGCATCTACAGCAATCAACTCCCGCACCAATAGCAGAAAAAAAGGAATAAAACAAGAGTTCTTGTTGCAAGTTGCAAGACAACTCATCGAGAGTGAGTGAGTGTTTGTGTACGGTGACCTTAGAGTGACTTATATTGATTTAGTCTGATGCCTCAATTTTAAATGAATTGTGCAGAAGTAGGTAGATAAACTTGAAGTGATGATGCTTTGATCTACTGGATATAGAAGCGAGCCCTGCGCGTCGCAGTAACTCAGTAGGTGAATCTGTGCACCGGTGTTGATTGTAGATGAACCGTACTACTTTAAGCTGCACCCTTTCCTACTACTTTAAGCTGCACCCTTTCAAGTGTTGATACACAGTCAGATGTGTAAGGGGACCAGGCTACGTTGCCATACTCTAATATAGGACGTATAAGTGAAACATAAGCGAGAAGCTTTACCTCAAGGGCGTTTTTTCAAGACACGTTTAAGAAAGAAAAGCTTCTTCTGGCTTTATTTTGCTACATACTGAATGTGCATAGTCCAGTTTAAATCAGCCGCAATGTTGATACCCAGATAGTGGTATTTGTTGACAGAATGCAGTGCAGTGCTGTCGGAACCATAAGTGAACTTGAGGGGTTATTTTTTTCTTGGTAACTAATATCGAAATGGTTCGTCCTTTGTTAATAGTCATATTTCAATCACAAGCATGCTGCTCAAAAACAAATCAGTACAGCAGAATCTAGGCAGAATCGATAGTTGCCAAGCAACAGCCTTTGACACAAACCTGCGCAATCGTTCACTGCCTCCTCTCCTTCCAAGTCGAGTGGACTGAACTATGCTTGGCAGCAAAGAGAGAAGAGGGGAAAGGGTCTAGAAACTGTATGAGAACCAAACAGAGCACACCAGCCTTCAACAGCTGGTAACTTACTCAGCAAGCATGCACTTTTTCATGGCGTAAGTGCCAAGTTCAAGAATTCTGACCCCAGGACATATTTGTAATGCGGGGGGGGGGGGGGGGGTCACATTGAATTATTTCTGTGTTTATGCAACCAAAATAAAACAGAATAAATATTTTAAAAAACAAGAGCAGGGTGGGAGGGGGTCACAATCACAAGCATCGGCGTTGCGGTCTTATAACGGCTTGGAGTGGCCGAACACACGAGGAAGATTTTCCACCAAGGTGAAAAAATTCGCGTCATCAAAACAACCAGCAATATCTAATTCCATCAAAACATCTCACGTATGTCTTCTTGGGACACATGTGAACGGACGGGATGGCGCAGCTGGCTGCCGCGAAAGCGCGGATCAAAGCTTTGTTCGCTGTTAGATTTTTCGGACAGGAACGCCAAAATGCTTCTAGCCTTTTTTTACATTGTTACGGCCTTTATTCTACCGCTGCGTTAGCCGCGTGTCCTCAGAGCTCGTAGGTAGCTATCGCGTTGCCGTGCCCACGGTTTTGTGCATGGCGGTTCCGGTAAACCATAGTTCCCTTTCAATCCACGTGCACTGGCAAAACTTAGTCGATTTATGCTATCTATGATCGCATCTGCCGTGATTTTGTCCACAGAGTTTTTAGAAAGCAGTGCTCC